TAACGTCTTCGGGAGTGAGCAAAGTGATACGTCGAATGAGGCGATGAAGCAAGCAACCGCATCACGGACATCAATGCTGCCGGCACATTTTTTGCGTACACGTGTCACCAAACTTGAGCTGAACATATCCCGAAATTTGGCACAAATAACTGGCGCAGCGGATATTTTCACGAAATTGCATAAGTAAGGGTGGCTGCTCATTTATTCGAAGGTTTAGCTTATTTCACTTTGCCAGAAGTTATCAATTTTTTTTTTTGTTGATTTTTAATTAACATTCGAATTAGCTTGCTTCTGAGCATCTTTACAAATTAGGAAGTCGTTAAAAGCTTTGCCAGGATGGCCAAAGCTACTTGGAGTACTTCCGAGCTCTAATGCCTTAGAGCTTTGATATGAAAAATAACTTTGCTAAATCTACAACTGTAATTTTCGGTGAATGGGACCATATTTGTAAGTGTGCATCGTAATTTTTACGCATTTTTTGCAGCTATGCAATGCAGAAAACGCATATTGACGAGGAGTTGTCTGTGTGTCTGCATGTCCGTGTGTGCGTCTGCCACAGTTTTTCATCTCAAGACCTACAAAAGCTACAGGGCTGAAACTTTGGGAACTTAATCTACATGCACCTACGGGCCCCAATCCCCAAAATGGACGCCATTACCGCGTGGTACCCGCGTACGGGCCCACTAAAGTTTTTTCCGGGTAAGTTCATAACTCGGGGATCTGAGAAGCTAGAAAGCTGGAATCGTAGGGTATGTTCCCTGTCCAAGTGGGTATTAGTGAGCTCAAACCCAGCTTCCGGGTAAGCTGGTACCCGCTTACGGGCCTGCCAAAATTTTTTTCGGGCAGGTTGATAACTCGAGTACCTGAGAAGCTAAAGGACTGCGATTTTCGAGGATATACCCCGTCCGCCCAAGTTTCATTCAGCTCAAACGGAACCCTCGGGTATGCGTGGTAAACACGCACGGGCCCGTGAAAATTTTTTTCGAGCAAGTTGCTAACTCAGGAACCAGGGAAGCTAGAAAGCTGAAATTTTAAGGGGGTGTTGTCTAACAGTTCTGGCGGCCAGTCTTAGTTTGTTTACCTAGAAGCATTTTCCGAAAAGCCGCTGTCGGTAGCAACAAAAGCTGCTGGGAACTATGCAAAAAACGCATCTTCGCACGGGCAGCCCGCGTTGGCCAATTATTTTTTTTTTTTTTTTGCATTAGCTTGGCAATAGGGACTTAGAATCTAGTCATTCAGGATAGATGAGGTTTGATATAGCTACATTTGACAATTGGCTGTGGCTTATTTTAGTAAAAACTGATTTTTGGAATAGTAATTAGGATGGATAAAAAATAAACAAACTATGTAAAAAGCAAGTATTGGGAGTAAATTATCAAATATGATAATATTATGCAGCGTAGTATAGAGGGAAATAAATAGCGGAAAAGGAATGTTTCGGTCCACTAAGTCTTATACATTCTCACCGGACAT